GCAGCCACCGCCTTGACTTTTACCACGGCGCAGCTCGCCAGAGGGCTGGACCTCCGCGCAGCTTGTGACCGTCCAAGGGCCCGGAAAGCCCCGCCCGGAGGCAGAGCTTCGCCCAACAGCTTGCGACCGTGATTTCTTCGCGGCGCAAGCACGTCAGGGTCCAAGGGTCAGAATTCGACTCCTGGACGTGTTCCTCCGCATCGTTCGGACGTGTGCATGTTTCCTCGGCGAGGGCCATCGAGGAGCATCTTTGGTCATCCTGCGAAAAATAAACGCACGGGGACCAGACGTCCGAGCGATGGCGAGGTGTCGGAATGGGCTCTTCAGAATCTCTAGGCGGATCCGGCCGTGGCGACGAGAGACCTCCCCGAGGCCCAAGGATGACTTGATTCCGGAAGCCTCCCCGGAGCCCATGCCAGAACCTCCCGTCGCGATTTCTCCACGACGCAAAAGGGGCTCAGGGTCCAGTAACGTTAAGTCGGGCCTGTCCCTCTACAGGAGGAATATTCAAAAATAGTTCAAAAAATAGTTTGGGGACGATTTATTTAGTATTTCCCTACCTAGGCTCTGCCTAGAAGGGTTCTTACTCGGTATGCTTAAAGGGCCGGGCAGTGTTCCACGCCGCGGGCGGTTCCCCCAGTATCCGCCCCGCGGTTCCCCCAGTTACGTCCCCTTAGCTTAGCGTTGCTTATCTCATCTTAGCTTAGCTTATTTCATCTTAGCTCAGCTTAGCTTCATCGTAGCTCAGGTTTATCTTAGCTAGCTTACCTTCATCTTAGCTTCGCTGAGCTTTAGCATAGCAGAGCACAGCATAGCATAGCATAGCGTAGCATAGCATAGCGCAGCACAGCATATCATAGCATAACCCAGCATAGCATAGCATAGCGCAGCATAGCATAGCATAGCATAGCATAGCAGAGCATAGCATACCATAGCGCAGCTTAGCTTAGCATAGCATATCATAGCATAGCACAGCGCAGCATGGCATAGCATAGCTTAACATAGCATAGCATAGCATAGCAAAGCATAGCGCAGCATAGCATAGCATAATGGGAGTAAACGATTAAAAAAATCTCCCCCTCCCCCCCCCTGGGGTCCCTGATTCTTTTGTGTGGGGTGGACGAATAAAAATCGGGCATCGGAAACAATTTGTTTAAGCGTCCTCCCGCCCGCCCCCCCCCCGCCCCCCCGCCCCGCAACGCCCCTGGGCTCGCGCCGTGACGGCGTGCCGAAAACTAGCGTTTAAATTCCCGTCCCGCCGCATGTTTTCAGGCGTCGCTTTGGGGCAGCCACACGCGGCGCAGTTTCGAGGATTCCTTCGGGTCCTTGTAGATACTTTATGACGAGGAGGGCCTGCAGTATGATCTTCATCGTGGTTCGACTTATTTTCTCCGCCTCGCTGCGCGGCGTCTAGATGATACGACTTTGGGGCAGTTTCGTATCAGCCTTCCCCTCTCCCCTCGTCTTCTCCCCCGTTCCCTCTTCTCCCCCGTGGAGCTCCCTATGGGGCCACGAGCGATGCGCCGCATGGTATTATTTGATAGGGATGGCGCGAGTGCGCCAGGCGGACCCTCCCACTGGGCCTTTCGGTGGAGCACCTTATGGGGCCACGAACCGTGTGAGGGGTCAGGGGGAATGAGGGAGGACGAGGGAGGAGGGAGGAGGAGAGGAGGTGGGGAAGGAGAAGGAGAAAAGGAGACGCGGTGTCTCAAGGAAAACGAGGCCCAACTACGCAGGTGGGTTGGGGGAGAAACAAAAACGTGGAAGGGTATATTGGGATTGGGGAAATCGGGAGGCAGGGTGGTCAGCCCTCGGCTTTCAGCCTTTCCCATGCCGCTCGAATTGTCGCCCCTCCGTGGGCCGAGCCCCCTCTCCCCCTATTGTGGGGGCGCCCAGGCCGGCGAAACTATTTTTGAAAGCGTCCGGCCCCATTTTTTTTAAATCGTTTACTCCCATTAACATAGCATAGCGTAGCATAGCATAGCATAGCATAGCATAGCATAGCATAGCATAGCTCAGCGTAGCATGGCATAGCATAGCATAGCATAGCATAGCATAGCATAGCATAGCATGGCAACTAGTGCTGCTTTCCTAGGGGTTCCAACTTCTAGGTAGGGTCGCACTGGGGTAATTTTTGGCTAATTTTGCGTTTTTTTGGGTATTTGTATTCTTCGTCCAGAATCCCGCTGTAGGGGGACATGCCCGACTTGACACTAACGTGGACGGGGCCCCCAGCAGAAGGCACCCGCACACCACCGCCGTGGACCACCAGGGCCCCTCTCGGAACCCTGTGGCGGTGTGGGAAGACCTTCTCGCCCTGGACAAGGCGGGCGTGCACACCATGCCTCGAGCAATTTGGGGATCGGCTGCAGAGTTGATGTGCCCCACAACGGATGTTCCGTCGAATCTACGAACGTGCGCAGAATGCTCCGTAGACCTACGAGCATTCCGCGTGCTTGTGCTTCAGGGTCGACGGGGTAAATGGTCTTGGGTGGATCCATTATGGAGACGATCCCCCCCTCGAGGTGCGGGTGGACCTTCCTGCCATGGGCCCAGGAGGGCGTGCACGCCAGGCCAGGGGCCAGGATGGCCCCGATAAGGCACGGATTGGGGACGCAACTCCTGAGAGGTTAGGTCCAGCATCGGCGCTGATACACCCGTGGCCGAAAGCCGGCCTGATCTGGCCAAGTCCTAATCCTACCTATTTCCGCGCGTTCTCGTTCCATTTTATTCAGTAGGGCTCGATCCTGGGCTGAATCTAGCCTGATCCGGCTTAGTGGACTCCTGATAGCCTTTAGTCGTTCTTGCGAAAACCTCCCAGGAGTTGCCCTTGTGTGCAGCAGCATGGGTTGATCGATCTCCGGCTCAGCGAAACCCGAAGGGACACCATATATCCCAATCTAGGGGGGTGAATCGGTAAGTGTGGCTAAGGCCATGCCCGTAGGGATGCAGATCGGTTCAACGATGCTCAGTCACCATGTTATGTGTTCAAGTATGGACCCCTTGTCGAACGTGGCCCTCCAGGTTTCGCGCCGCAGACCGCCAGAAGACGCCGAGGACCGCCGGAAACTGCCGAAGACCACCGAAGACCGCCGAGCACCACCAGAAGACCGCCGAAGGCCGCCGAAGGCCGCCCAGCAGGGGGTAAATTTTCGAATGAGTAGTACTGCGCCAGGGCCCATGATTGCCCCGACCAGGCACGGTCGCGGTGCGCACACCCTATTGGAAAAGTGATGCAACTTTTGCAGAATTTATCGGCGAAGCGACCGGGGGATCTCCCTGGAACTAGTTTTTCATCCCGAGTCCGCTTCTGACGGTCTTGGGGTCTGGAAGCGGTTCCTGGAGGCCGAAAGCTACGAAAATCCGAAAGCAACAAGCAGAGTTTTCACTACCATCCTGTGGTGTTGGGTCCTCGTTTTGAAGAAACAGCGCCCTGCGTTCTCTCCTCCTCCTCCTCCTTCCTTCGTGGCCCAATGCGGAGCTCCACTGAAGGTCTCAGTGGCGGTGTTCCCATGCGTTTCCCCCACCCAGTACAGCGTGCCCTGGCCCCATACGGAGCTCCACCGAAGGCCCCACTGGCAGTGTTCGCATGCGTCTTCCCCACCCCATACAGCGTTTCGTGGCCCCATAGGGAGCTCCACCGAAGGTTCCAGTGGCGGTGCTCGCATGCGTCCCCCGCACCCAGTATAGCGTTTCGTGGCCCCATGGGGAGCTCCACCGAAGGCCCCAGTGGCGGTGTACGCATGCGTCTCCTCTGCCCAGTACAGCGTTTCGTGCCCCCATAGGGATCTCTACTGAAGGCCCCAGTGGCGGTGGTCGCATGCGTTTCCCCCGCTTCTGACACCTTTCCGTGGCCACATAGGGAGCTCCATCGAATGCTCAGTGCCGCGTTTCGTGGCCCCACAGGGAGCTGACCTGAGGCCCCAGTGGCAGCGCCCGCGCGGCGGCCCCGCCCCGCTGCGGCGCACCCCTCACGCTTCGCGGCCTTGTGGTGGGTTCCACCTAGAGCTTCAGTGGCAGCGCGCACACGGCGGCCCCGCCCCACATCGGCACACCCTTCGCGTGCTTCCTGGCCCCACAAGGAGATGCCCCGAAGGCGATACCCGCAACACTGGTACTCACAACTGCAGACGGCTGGGTCCTTCGCCAGGATGATTTGGTTCGCCGCGCTGGCGGACGCGAGCGCCACTGCAGAGCCGACGGGCCGCGCAGTACACCTGGGCGCACTGGAGCGGGCGGAAGAATCGCAGGACGGCCGCGGACGAGGAGCAGCACGAAGGCGACGAAAACAACCAAATCGACAATCGATGTTGCATTATCCTTCCAGGCCAGTGTACGGCCGGTTCGCGTCGTGTCGACCAGCGGCGACCCCGCCGCTGGCGTTCAACGTCGAACGCTGCCGGCGACCCAGAATCGGTCGACGTACGGCCGATCGTTCAAGGTTGAGCGACCCTCGCGATGTCAGGAACGAACATCAGGGTCGGCACGACACGAACCCGCGGTAGGCCTTGTTTCTTGGAGGTCCGCGCGGATTTCTCGGATCTGCGCTGGGCCCGCCTCCCTGGCGCGCAGAGCGCGCCAGTGGCGGCGCCTGAGGCGCCGCCAGTGGGGCCTGGCGCAGATCCAGGAAATCCGCGCGGACTTTTGAAAGTTTCTTTTTATGCATGTGCTTCTTCTTCGATCCCTCCTCCCTTCTCCTTTCTCCGCCATTATCCCCCCTTCTCACCTATTCTTCACCCCTCCTCCTCCTCCTCCTCCTGTCCTCCTCCTCCTCCTCCTCCTCCTCCTCCTCCTCCTGTTCTCCTCCTCCTCCTCCTCCTCCCCTCCTCCTCCTCCTCCTCCTCCTCCTCCTCCTCCTCCTCCTCCTCCTCCTCCTCCTCCTCCTCCTCCTCCTCCTCCCCCTCCCCCTCCTCCCAACCGTTCGGAGCTCTGAAAGTTTGTGCTCACGCCGTTGTCTGGCCCCCGAGACGTCGTCGGCCCTTGCCCGGGCTGCCGCGCAGGTGCCCTCCGCGCCTGCCCCTGGCGGTGCCGCGCAGGGCCGGCGCTGGGCGGCGCTCTCGCGGCGCGCTCTGCGCCGCGGCGCGCCTCGTGGCGGCGGGCGCGGCCGCGTGGGCGTCGTGGGGCCTCCGGCACCGGCTGGGCGGGGCAGGAGGATCCGGGCGGGCCTCCTCCTCCTCCTCCTCCCTCCTCCTCATATTCCTCCTCCCTCCCTCTCTCCCTCCCTCTCTCCCTCGCTCGCCCTTGGCTTCCCGTCTCGTTCCCCGTCCCTCCCAACCTCCATCCTGGCCCCTGTCGGCCGAAGAGTCGGGTGTTGCTAGAATCGACGAGCGCGTTCCACTACTCGCAAAGTAGCTGCTCGCAAATGGCCTGGATCCCCCGCGGGGGATCTGCGATAGAAAGCGCATCAAAACAGACAGGCGTTTCTCTCGGACGTTTGCGAGTAGGCACTTTGCGAGTAGAAGAACGCGCTCGGCGATCAAAGTACCCCTGGCCCAAGGTGCCCCCAGGATTTCCAAGGAGGCCCCCACGGTCTCCAGAGCACCCCTCACGAGGCCCAGGGGGTCCCTAGGGGCTCCAACGCTGAGCGAGATGCTGGGGGCACCTTGGGCCAGGGGCACCTCTAGCAGCCCACGAAAGAGGGATGCGACCGAAACATAAAGAGGCGACCGCGAGCGTGACCGAGACTGTGACCGAAAGCGTCGTGTGACCGAAGTCGAGACTGAGATCGAAAGTGGAGCCAAGAATTTCGATCACACTGTGGCGCGTTCGGAAAAAGTTGTGCGCCGGCTTCCTTCGGTCACACTGGGACAGCTTTTCGGGCACATCTTCGGTCGCTGCGCCCCCCCGATGGAGACGAGGCTGCGGGACCCACTGCCGTCGGGGGCCATGCGGGAGACGCGTCCTGACGGGAGCGGGCTCTGAATCTTCTCGCCGTCTTTGGCTTCCTGGGCCCTCCACGGGTCCCAGGGCTGTCAGAAAAGGATTCAGGATGAAGATTACCAGCCTGGAACATATCCCTATCCCTAAGCTGGGCATCGCCTCATCGCGATGCCAATCTTAGGGATTCCCTTAGTTTTTCAGGGCGCATTCCTAAGATTGTCATCGCCTTTTGGCGTGTCAATCTTAGGGATGGGGATGAGTTGGAGGCTGGTGAGAAGAACCTAGGGGAAGGTCCTGAGGTCCAGGATCCGTTCCCTCAGGACCCATTTCCTTCATGCTAAGACGGGGGCCCCCGAACGGTGTGGTGACAGCACCGCGTGGCGAGTCGGTGGGGGCCCGGGGTTTCTCGACGTTTTCGTTGGTTTCTAGTGCTTTCCTGCCTCGGGATGCGTTTCAGCAGGTGCGCCTCGCCGAGAGCGTTCCAGGGGTACCCGGATCGTCCCTAACGGCCGCCGGAGAGCTGAGCTATGACGAAAGCCACAGGGCACGGTGTCCACACCGCGTGGTGAGTCGGTGAGGTGGGATTCCGAGGTCACCGCGCGGTGAACAGGGTGCGGCTAGAGGGTGGTGCTGGGGGAGCAGGTGTGGGGTGAAGGTCTGAGGAGGAAGCGGCCCCGATGCCGCTCCACATCGCCTCGTTGTCGCTTCTTTGGGCATCCTGGGGGGAGGCCTCATCGCCACGGCCAGTCTTGCCTCGAGGTCCTGACCCGAACGCAGAGAGCGAGACGGAATCGGTATTTCCTCTGGCTCCGCCCAGGAGAGGGGCGCACCTCTCCAGATCTCTTGGGGCAGGGGGCTTTCTTGGGGCCGCCCTCCCGCGCCCGTGCTGTCCTCCCCCTGTCCACGCCCCGACCGCCAGGGCTCGAAGAGCAGAGGGCGGCCCCCCAGATCGGGGGCACTCAGGGGCGGGGGGGGGCCCAGTGGGAGGGCTGCGGGCTTCGGAAACAATAGCGGACACTCGTGTCACATTCATCTGTCAACGCCTCCCCCTCCGCCCAATGTTCAAAGTTGGCGGTGGGTCTGATGAGCTGCACCTCGACCGCAGTCTCCCCCGCACGTGCCAACTTTGAGTTTGGAGGGGAGGGGGGGGGTGTCCAGTAATTGTTTCCCTCTAGTGTCAGCTTGTGATTGACACATCCGTGGGGCGCGCGTGTTAAACAAACTGATTTCCCTGCTCGGGCGAATCGCGGGGTGGAGGGGAGGGGGGCGGGAGGCAAAGGCGGCCTCGGCCGCAGCCAAGGGGGCGCCAGCTGCCTCGCGGACCCGCGAGCAAACTGGGCTGGACGCAAGGGGGGCGTGGCCAAGCGGGGATTTGCCCAGCATCTCATATTGCTGGTTTTCCGAGCGCCAATTGGCGGCATGGAGGAATGGTCCCTCGGCGGGGCGACCGAAAACAGCTGCGCGCAGTAGGTTTCGCCCCCCCCCCCTTTCCTTCCCCAGCCTTTCGCCCGACCCGAGCAAAGCGGGCAGTCCTCCTCCCCACCTCTGTCGCGGCCCCTGTAGTCGACGACGACGACGAAAGAGGATGACAACGGCGATGACGATGACGACGACGACGACGGCCGGCGACGACGACGACGCACTGCGGATGCCCTAGGGGGGGGGGTGCTGCGCAGGCGGCCCGCTGTAGTCGACGACGACGACGACGAAGGCGGCGGCGACGACGACGACGACAACGATGACCACGACGACGACGGCGGCGGCGGCGGCGACGACGACGACGATGATGACGATGACGATGACGACGACGACGACGACGCCGGCGACAGCGACGACGATTACGAGGACGACGACGACAACGAAACACTGCGGATGCCCTCTGGGGGGGGCTTGCTGCGCAGGCTCGCTGTAGTCGACGACGGGGGCGACGGACGACGACGACGACGACAAAGAAGACGACGCAACGACGACGACGACGTCGACGACGACGACGACAACGACGACGACGACGGCGGCAACGACGACGACGACGGCGGCAACGATGCCGACGACGCTCCGCGGGTGGGGTGCTGCGCGGGCCCACTGTAGTCGACGACGACGACGACGACGACGACGACGGCTGCGACGACGACGGCGACAACGCCCGAGATGGTGAAAATCGTTCCGGATGGGCACGACGCCGATACGAACTTCTAGACGACAAGCATTCGTTTTGATGCTGTCATTCACGGGGGTGCACGATCTCCCCGGCGGCGCCCACGACGACCCCCTGGCGCGCGTGATTGAAACCAATGTTTCGCGTCCCGCGGGGTCTACTCGTCAGCCCCAGGGGGGGGTGCGCATTTGTTAATCGCGAGCTGATATTGCCGTGACGCCGACCCCCAGTCTTATGTCGGGCGTGCCCCCCAACACAGGGGGATTTTCGACGAAAAACAAAAATTACCCCAAACATGCCCCAAACAAGTCCAGAAATATCAAACAATACTCACTGCGTGGAGCTCCCCATATGTGCATCCTTATTTAATCGGTAATAGTGCATTTGGGATGTTTAGACGAGCGTCTAGCCATATGAGCCACATGTGCATCTCATCTCGCCAGATGAGCGTCTAGCCTTAGTGTGGGGCAGTGCTAAGGTAGCACAGCCGTGAAAACACCCTTGGCGGCTCCCCTTAGGTAGCTGAAGCCAGCGCCCCGCCTGAGACATCCTCACAATCTGCTCTCCAAGCGAAGGATTTTGATACAGAAAACACGCAAACCGCTTCAGACATTCCCACAAAACGGCCGCGAACGGGACCGTGTCATGCCCCTCGGCGGCTCCCCTTAGGGACGTGAAACTGAGCGCCTCGCTCGAGACATCCGCCAAATCTGCTCCGAAAGCGAAGGATGCTGGGACAGAAAACAGGCAAACCGCTTGAGACATCCCCACAAAACGGCCGCGAACGGGACCGTGTCATACCCCTCGGCGGCTCCCTTTAGGGACGTGAGAATTAGCGCCTCGCTCGAGACATCCTCCAAATCTGCTTCGAAAGCGAAGGATGTTGGGACAGAAAACAAGCAAACCGCTTGAGGCATCCCCACAACACGGTCGCGAACGGGGCGTGCGTCAGTCTCAGCATGAGTAAGTCTGAATATGAGTAGGTCTGAGTATGAGAAGGTCTGAATATGAGTAATATTGTGTGTGTGAGAGAGAGAGAGAGTAAGTCTGGGTATGAGTAAGTCTGAGTGTGAGTCAGTCTGTGTATGAGTAAGTCTGGGTATGAGGAGGAGAGGGGAGGAGAAGGAGAAGGAGGATGAGGAGTAGGAGGCGTCAGAGTAATAACAAGAACCCAATTTTAGGATATGGGGAAATAGTCCCCAGACTATGTTTGGATTATTTTTTGGAATTATTTTTGGGGTATGTTTTTTTCCTCGCACATCCCCTTGTAGGGGCACAGGCCCGACTTGACCCCAGTCGCCCGTTCATCGTCGATAAAGGGGCCCGATGGCCCGCCCTGCCCGGGACCGTGCGGATTCGCTCCCGGGGGCCTGTCGCCCACTGGTCGGCATCGCATCGCGGAGTCCAGGTCGAGGCTTGTCCCATCCTGAGCAGGGCCTCCCCTGTCGTTGCCCCTCACCCCCAGGGGGCCCAGACTGCCCCAGAGATGACAGCAGGAACCCTCCAGCGGTATGCACGGCAACCTTCGAAGGTCTGCGCGGGCTCGGCCCTCGATCCTTGCCGCTCTCGCGGAACGAACGGACTGATCGTGCACTGGCGGAGGTCCGCGCGGATCTCTTGGATCGGCGTTCGGCGGCCTTGCGGCGCCCATGGCGCCGCTCCTGACGCGTTCCGAGCGCCAGGGAGGGGGGGCTCTGGGGATCCAGCGCGGATCTAGGAGTTCCGCGCGGACCTAGAACAATTATCTGCACTTGGGTCGGCGTTGGACCTGTATCCCGCTGCGCGCGAAGCTCATGCTTCTTTCTGGAACAATTTGTTCTTCAAGTATTGCGGCAGGGTCGCGCCGCGTCGGCTCGGCGACGACGGTGGCGCGGGCGCTCAGAGGTGGAACGCCGCCAGCGAGTGGCCCGGAGTCGGCCGATGTCGAGCGGCCCGCGCCGTCGGAAAGCCGCGGGGTCAGAAGCCAATGCCGCCGGCCTCGTATTCGTCCACCGCTCGGGATACAGTGTCCAAGGAACGTGGAAGTCTTGCGGATTTGCTGGGTCGGCGCTGGACTGGGCTCGCTGCCACCCCTTGCGGCGCCTCCGGCGCCACCCTCGGCGCGCTCCGCGTGCCAGAAAAGGGGGTCCTGGAGGAGTGTCCAGTGCCGACCCCAGCAACCCGTGCGGACCTCCGAGAGTTTGCGCCCATGCCCCTGCACATTCTCTCGGATGCAACTCGTGGGAGGTTAAATTCTGATTTTGCCCTGGTCTGAAATCCGGCTTAATCTGGTTTATCCCCGCTTAATCCCGCTGAATCTGGCTTAATCCCGCTTCATCCTCGGCCTTATCCGGCGTAGCAGCCCCCCCCAACGGGGCTTGATCCCCGCTAGTCCTTTGACGAAGACCTCCCAGTAGTAATCTCCTAGCATTCTTCCAGCGCGTCCATCGCCTTGGAGTGGTGCCTTGGTATCTCGAGGGCCAGGTCTCTGGCAGTCTCTAGACGTGCGGGCCTCTTGGTGGTGCAGGCTCTCGAACAAGAAAAAATGCCATGAGCAATTTTTTTTGCGCTCCGCGCGGATTTCTTGGATTCGTGTTGGGCTCTCTGGCGGCGCCTCCGGTGCGGAGCGCGCCAGGGAGGGGGTCCAGTGCAGATCCAAGAAATCCGCGCGGACCGGCGCAAGTTATGTTTATGCTGCTTTTTGCTCTTCTAGGCTCGGGGGCTCCCGAACGGTGTGGTGCTCACACCGTGTGGTGAGTCGGTGGGGGCCCATGGTTTCCGGACGTTTTCGTTGGTTCCTGGGCGTTCTGTGTCTGGCAGCTGCGCCTCGCCGATGGCGTGTCGGGGGCACCCAGGTCGTCCCTGACGGCCGCCAGAGAGCCGAATTATGACCCGAAAGCCACGGGGCACGGTGTCCACACCGCGTGGTGAGACAGTGTGGATTCGGGGTGACCGTACGGTCTTGGGACCTGGGTCGCTCTCTGAGGATTTCTCTGGCGGCGGGGGTCTCCAGAGTTCCAGAACCGTGTGGCGACGGACCGTGCCGTGAGGTCTTCTGTGATTCTAAGGTCACTTACGACCTGTTATCGCATTGTCTTGGGACTCCAACAGGAGACGGCCTCACCTTCTCAGTGCTGCCTTCCCGCATTTCGATCACGTCGCCAGGCTGGCTTCTGGAGGCCAAGACACCGATGCTCGTGGCTGGGGTATTTTTCGGCGCTCTGAGCGTCGGCCTGGCTGTCCTGATCGGCATCTTCGACCTGCTGATGGATTCCATAGACTTGTGGAACGTACAGATCAAGCGGGGCTTGTACGCGCATTTGTTCGTATGTGCCACGGGGATGCTCTTCCACAGCGTGGGTTATTCATCGACGACTTTCTTGGTGGTCACCGAAGACATTGTGGGCGGCGATTATCTCATCGGACGGCACTTACACTGGCTGATATCTACGCCCCTGCAGTGGTACATCTATAATCTGTGCTTCGTGAGCCCGGGGAGCAGGTCCAGCCGCATTGAAACCATCTACGCTTACGCTGCGGCTGTGCAGATCTGCGGCATCTTGATGTTAGCCACGCCATTCCCAATCTTATCCTTTGTTGCGGCCACTGGCTGCTTCGTGCGGGTTTTCGTGGTGGCGTATCAGCTTCCGCTAGTGCCGGAGACTGCAGCTGTTGGCCGCAGGTTTTTAGACCTCCACCTGTTCCTGTGGTCTGCGTATCCGATTGCTCAGCTGTGCAGGGTGGTGGGCTGGCTGACGGTCGGGCAGCAGCAGGTGCTCGTATATTGCACCCTGGACTGCTTATCCAAGGGCCTGAGCTTCGGCAGCATCCTGGTGGCCCGCCTCAAGCGCACCCTGACAAGCATGACCGGCGCCCTCCAGACGATGCCCGAGAACCACGACGTGGTGCTCGTGGTGGACTCGTCCTTCCGGCTGCTGGAGCCCGTGCGCAACCAGAGCCTCCTGTTCCACAAGTCCGCGCAGGCCGACGGCACAGCCCGGAGCCTGCTCGAGCTCTGCGCCAGCGAGGAGGACAGCGAGCGGCTCCACAGGGTCGCCCGGGCGGCAGACCGCCAGCCGCCCGGGAAGGGCTCGCCGAAGTGCACGCTGACATTCAGGCTCCGGCGCGAGTTCGGGGAGCTGAACACCACCTGCTTCGTGTCCAGGTGCACAGGAGGTCGCCGGACAATCGGGATCTCGTTCGCGGCCCAGCGGGTGGGTCCCCAGGCGAGCGGCAGCGAGGCGCGCGACCCCGACGGCGTGATGTCTGGCCCGCACGGCGTTGCACAAGTCTCTGGAACCAGTCTCAAGCATTTCGCATGCGTCCCTGAGTGAGCAGCGTTAGGGGTTCGAAGAATGACATAAAGATACAAACTCGGAGGTCCTCGCGGATTTCTCGGATCGGCGTTGGACCCCGTTGGCGGCGCCTCCAGCGCCGCCCTTGGCGCGCTTTGCGCGCCAGGCAGGGGGTCCAGCGCCGATCCGAGAAATCCGCGCGGACCTCCGCGTTGTTATGTATATGTCATTCTTCGTTCCCCCAAGGGTGAGGTCTGGGCCGTTTGTGCTCAACTGCCACCGTGGTGCCACCCTCGCTGATGCGATCGGCGCCTTCGGACTCGCTCGCACAGGCGGGCACCGGAGCTGGTGGGTGTCCAGCCGCCGTCACGCTCCCGAGGCGAAACGACCACCAGCGCAGAGCGGAGGGTACCGACTCTAGCACGCCTGCAGCGATCCTGGGCCCAGGCCGATCCTGGACCCAGGATCGGTGTATATGCCTTCCTGCCCAAGCCACTAACTCACAAGCATGCGCCGTCTGGCGCATGGGCAAGAAAGCAAATTTGCGCTATCGCAAGCATAACTGGGCGAGACTCCGCGCCGGTTGATCAGGGCAGGGGGGGAGGCGGAGAAAGGGGGGAAGGAGGACAAATAGAAGCAGCAAACCTCTTATTCAGGAGCCCAGCGGATCTTGGGAATGGGACCTGAGCGTCCCCGCATGGGTTACCTGCAGGATGTGAGATGAGGGGAAACCCTGAGATCCGACGTCGCCGAAAAATTGAAACGTCGTGCAAAGTCACGACCGGAGCCCTAGACCCTGGCTTTCCGCACCATTTTTCGAGCCGCATCGATCTGTCAGGGTCCCGGGGCCCGCGACTATGCGAGAACGCTTGGCTCGATAGTGTCGAGGCGCCAGGAGCTCAGGGGAGCCCTGTGCCCAGGAGGGTCCTGGCCAGGATCGGTGCAGGTGTACAGCTGGCGCCCGCCCAGGGGCAATGACAGGGTGGCATAGGCTCAGGGGGGGATGCATCGAAGCCCTTCGGGAGCAAATCATGGGAGCCTTGTATACCCTCGTAATTTTAAGTCGGGCCTGTCCCTCTACAGGAGGAGCATTCAAGAGTAGTCAAATAGTCAAAAAATAGTCGGGGGACGATTTTTCTATTATCTTCGGATAATTTTCGAATCATTTTGATTATTTTTAATGTTTCGTCCAAAATCCGCCTGTAGGGGGACATGCCCGACCTAAGCATAGGCTCAGGGGGGGACGCATCGAACCTCCTCGTTGGCAAACCATGGGAGCCTCGTACACCCTCGTAATTCTGTCTTTAGCGTCGACTCTCCTTGAGTAGCGTCTGGGAGTCGATGAGAGAGCGCCGATTTAGCGCGCCGACAGGCGTCGATTTGGCGTCGATGAGCGTCGATTCTCAAGAGCCGACGAGATGGCATGGGAGGCTCCCACGAGTTGCCACCGAAAACCCCCAGTCGTCCACTCACCGCCGATCGGGGCCCGATGGCATACCCTCGCCCGAGGCTGTGCGCTTCCATTCTCCGGCGCCCATCGCCAACCCGCAGGCGAGGCATCGCCGAGTCCAGGTCGACTGCAGGGCCCACCCCCGACACGCCGGTGGTTGGAAGCAGGCATGCTTGGATTCCCAGATCCGAATCTGTTTCTGGCGCCTTCCTGCTTCAAGAGCCGGCAGGGTCTGGATATGTGTTTCGTTGTTCTCTGGGAAGGCCTGACCCCAACCTGCTTTATCCGCCTTCGTACTTCGCGTTTTGACCTCATTCTTCCGACCGGCGCGTGTCTCAGGAGGGAGAAGAACACACAGACACAATCCATCGCCGATTTCCCAGAACATGTGGGGAAGTATGGGAAGTGGGGGGGACGACAGACACCCAGAAAACATGCGAAACAATTGGGAATCCAGTCATTCGTGTCTCTTTACTTGTGTGCAAGATCTTCGGCACCGCCTGTTTTCTGAGCCCTCTGGCCGCCTGAGGCCCTGCCCGCCTGCGCCCTGTCTCCCCAGTTAGGGCTACCCGCGTCCCCTTTAGCTTTTGACCGGAAGGGGCCCGCTCCCGACCCGCAGACCAAAAAAGTCTCTTTATTTGTGTGTCCCAGGGCCCCTTCGGTATATCGCCGCCCCGCATCCCCGCAGAGCCGCCCGCGGGAGGCAGCCGCCCGGCGGGGCTCGGGCGGGCAGCTCGGGGCGGGCCGCCGCCCGCGGGGCCGGGGCCCGCCGACGGCCTCGCGCCGGGCCTCGCCGAGCGCTGTCCACTACTCGCAGAGTGCCTACTCTTATGTCGGGCCTGTCCCCCTACAGGCGGATTTTGGACGAAAAATAAAAGATACCCCAAACATAGTCAACAAAATAATCCAAAAATCGTCCAGGGACTATTTTTTGAGTATTTTTTGACCTTTTGGGTGTATTTTGGGGTATTTTGAATTTTTCGTCGAAAATCCCCCTGTAGGGGGACAGGCCCGACATGAGCCTACTCCCAAATGTCCGAAAATCACATGTCGGCTTTGATGTAATTTATCGTAGATCCCCCGCGGCGTATCCAGGCCATTTGCGAACAGTTACTCCGCGAGTCGTGGAACGCGCTCGTCTAAGGCCCAGCATCTGGGATTTCGGTACGATCGACGTGGGTCTGGCAGGGAGGGGTACGAAGACCGACAGCAGTTCGTGGCCAATTTGAGGAGGGTTCGGCGTCGGCGTCGCCGCGGACGTCGTCGGTTTGAGACGGGAAGTCGCCCGTCCAACAGCGGCCGCTGCCAGTGTTGGACCGCACCGGTTGTGGGGCAGCGTACCCGGGAGGTAAACTCGGCATCTCGAATATTCAGAATTTCATAGCAGATTGAGGGGGTCACAACCCTCCCAGAGGGGTAATTTCCGACCCCTCCCCAGACCAGCCATGAATGGGCGGCCTTTTGCCCAGACCGCCCAGAACCCTCCAAGACAGCTCAAATCAGCCCCCCTCTCCAAATCTGACCCCTTCCCTTCGATTGTGGCATTTGGAGTAACAGAAACTCTCAGAGGTCCGCGCGGATTCCTTGAATCGACGTTGGGTCTCCCTGGCGGCGCCTCCTGCGTCGCCCCTGGCACTCTCTGCGCGACAGGGAGGGGGTTCAGCGCCGATCCAAGAAATCCGCGCGAATCCCAGAGACATTCGATTTGTGCGTTTTTTTGGGGTCTCTTGCACTGGAGTTGGTTTAGCCGTGGTCGGAAACTGGTCCAATCTGGGCTAGACCCGATTCACTCCGCTCAATCTCGCTCGATCCCGCTTCATCGGGCTTAGTCTGAAGTCGGGCCTGTTCTCTACAGGAGGAATATTCCAAAATAGTAAAAAATAGTCAGGGGACACTTTTCCCTGGAGTGGCCTCCTGGCGTGGGCCTTGCCCCGTTCACCTGGCGCCACCACCTATCCGACCTCGCGGTCACCGGCGTGCTGCTGCGCAGCGGACCCCGGATCACGAGGGGGGCCTCCGTCACCCGGGCGGCCCGTTCTCAGGGTAGGGGGCCACATGCGAACCCTACCCCTACCCCCTGCCATTTCTGAGGGGGAGGGGTGGGATTCGCAGGGGCAGCGACTGGGGGGGATAGGCTCAGGGGGTACGCATGGATCGCCAAGGGCCCACTCATCGCCGGTGGGGGCCCGCTAGCCCCCTCTGCGCCCAGGATGGTGCGGTTTCGCTGTCGCCCTTCGCCCTTCGCGTCCCTCACCAGCGTTAAGTCGGGCGTGCTCATCTACAGGAGGAATACCAAAAATAGGCAAACAATTATATGGGGACGATTTTTTGAGTACTTCGGATTTTTTTTTGGGGGGTCTTTTTTTTTTTTCGTCCAAAATCAGAATCCGCCTGTAGGGGGACATGCTCGACCTGACACCAGCGGGATCCTCTCTGCAGCGGCGCTGGGGGTGGAGGACGCGACCTTCGAACGCTCTTGGGGGCGTCAGGTCAGAGGTCTCCTGCGCCTCCTCCGCCTGCGCGTCGCGCTCCGTCTAGTCGCAGCAGCGTCTCACCCGCTTCCTTTCGTGACCCGCGCGTCGGGCGGCGCGTGGCTGCAGTGAGAGAGTGGGGTTCAGAGGGGGTGTGCGAAGGGTGGAGAAGTGGGGAGGAGCGTTAGAGGGCCACATGCGAACCCTACCCCTACCCCCCACGATTTCTGAGAGGGAGGGTGGGGTTCACTTCGCTCGGGAGCTCCCGAACGAAGTGAACCCCACCCTCCCCCTCAGAAATCGTGGGAGGTAGGGGTAGGGTTCGCATGTGGCCCCCTAAACGTGCAACCGGGGAGGGGACACGAATCCGTGGCGGCGATCTGTCCATCACCCCCGCCCGGGGGGGGATCGGCCGTCGGGGACTTCGCCCGCGGGTCCCGGGGCGTCGACTCCCCAGGCTGTGGGCAATGGATAGGTCCCCGCCTCGCAAAGATGGACCAGTCGGGGGTGGACAGAACCGCCAACAGTGACACGTCGATTAGTGAATTGTCCGTTTTCGGTTCTCGAGAGGGCGCCGTGGCCGTTATTCTCCAGGCTTGCGCCCGCCAGGTTTGGGCCTCAGGTCGTTTTCACTAAACCACGTTTTACTAAAGGGGGGTCTGTCCATCCCCGAACCAGAGTGGGAAGATCCATGGACGCCAAGGTTTCGCGCCTGACGCAGAAGACCGGCACTACTGTAAGGCCTCCCCACCGCCAGCGACCTGAGCGCTGCGCCGTCCTCCTCCGCTTCTCCTTACCCTCAGGAGCCCTTTTGCCCTTCCCCCTGGACGAGCCTTTCTTCAAGAGATCTAGAACTTTGCGTGGGATCAGATCAATCACACTTTGCTTTATCCAGCTGCCTGCGGCAAGTCCCGCCACCGTGCCAGGCCAGCTTTATGGGTGGCGACCGTTCGAGGGAGCACGGGAGGCCGTCGCGCGTGTCACCGCGTGTCTCCAGGCTTAGGGGAGTTGTGATGATGACGCTGCTGCGGTTGCTGCTGCTGCTGCTGCCACTGATATTGTTGTTGAATATTATTAATTCTAAAGAATAATTATTGTTGGGCCCCCTGGTGCACGCC